CCAAAAGAGCACGTGTGATTGTGACCACGCCTGTGAGTGCGAGAGATGTGCCGCCCATGTGTGAGTGAGCCGCTGATCCGCTCCCAGCCTGCGCAGGAAAAGTGGGACAGGTCAGCTCCGTTTTTCGATACACTTTGGAGACACATGATACTGACGCGCTACCAAGTGCAGCGTCACGCGTAGCTGGCAAGAGGGACGTGCGATCTTTGACAAGGTCAAGGTCTTGATGATCGATGAGGTCAGTTTTCTAGCACGAAGAGGAGCGCGTGCCGTCCGGTAGCTCAACGCTCCCAGCTCTTCAGGTGCACATATTGAGGGAACGGCAACGTGGTGAGTGTCGTAAGCGCCTCGTTCGTACGCACGCCATGCTCATCACACTCCCTCGACTAGGGGCGCGCGTGGAAGTTCTCGTATCCAGAATGAAGACGTACGGCGATAACGTGCGCATCGTTGCCCTTTCAGCCACGTGCGTCTGACTTGCAACAATGTATTTACGGGATCCACGATTGCTGACGGGCTTCGAACTGAATCATCCTTGCAGAATTCCAAACGCTTCAGACATTGCGCAGTGGCTGGGCAGCTCTGGCGGCAGCTCCAAGAACGGCATCGAGCTCTCCGATGCCACAGTTCCAAGTGCTGCAAAGCTCTTTGAATTCGGCGAAGAGTTCCGTCCCTGCCCGCTCAAGAAAGTGCGTGCCTGCAATCGCGCTTGGCTGCGCCCGATGCTCACCGCATCCGAACACAGTACATATATGCCTACCCCAATCCGACCGGCGACTTGTGGAGCTTCAACCACACCTTGAACAGCAAGTGAGCACCCATGCGTGCGTTGCGCAGAAACACCCTGATCGACCATGATCGTCGCAGGCTGCTACCTATGATCACGGAGCATGCCAGGCGGCGTCCAGCCCTCATCTTCGTGGCGACGCGCAAAATGACGGTGCAAGCTGCCGAAGCTATAGCGAAAGAGTTCAAGATCCTGGAAGAGCGAGGACAAGTGACGCCTTGGTCCAGACCATCCGCAAACCAACTCTCGTCTTATATCGACCCGCAACTACATGGTGCGCACCACTGAGACTCGCACGATAGGCAAAAAGCTGACTGTTGCCTTCTTCTCAGACCTCGCTCGTGTCGGTATTGCTGTTCACCATGCCGGTCTCGATCAGCAGGACCGTCAAGCTGTCGAAAGAGACTTTCGCAGTGGTTCCATTGGTGCTCTTTGTGAGTCTCCTTTGATTGCGCCCAAGCTCTCTGCTGATGTGCTGCATTGCGATAGGTGCAACGAGCACGCTGGCGGTGGGCGTCAACCTTCCCGCCTACCTCGTCATCGTGAAGGGCACCAAGAAGTACGATGGCTCCAAAATGGTAGGGCCTCGGGGCTCACACGTCTCACGCTGCCTGCGCTCACTTTGTTGCCCGCCATTTAGGTTGATTTGACTGACTTTGACCTGTTGCAAGCAATCGGGAGGGCTGGCCGACCCAATTACGATCGCGAAGGTGTGGCGTGCATTCTTACGGAAGAAAGGGAGCGCAAGCGTATCTCGGAACTCGTCCAGGGAGGGACAAATGTCGAGAGCGTCCTTCATCATGAGCTCATGTGCGTGCCGAGTCAATGCGCGGTTGGCAAAGGTCATTGATGCACATCCACCTATTACACGCAGAGAGCACGTCAACGCCGAGGTGGGTCGCAGCAAAGTGTGGAGCAAGGTGCACGGTGCATTGGAGAAGTCCCGCTGATGGGTGCTCATTTATAGCTCACTCTGCGAGAGAGAACCGAAGAAAGCGCCATTCAAGAATGGCTAGAGTCGATGTTCTTGTTTGTCAGGATGCAGAAGAACCCGAGCCATTACGCGGTAGCAGGCGTCACCTCTGCTCAGGCAGCTTTCAGCGAAGTGAAAGCAGCCATCCTGTCAAATGCGCTAGACAAATTGCAAGAGCATGGTTTCATCTCCCGAGAAGCGACTTCAGACTGTTCTGGCCTGATCTGCTCGACCGACCTCGGTGAGTCTTGTGGCTCAATGTGTCCGAGCTTTGGCTGATATCGCCCTCATACAGGCAATATACTCTCAAAGTACTACCTCGGGCTGGACACGCTTCACAGGCTCACGCGAGTTCCACGCAACGCCAAGACTGGCGATATTCTAGAGGCAATATGCCAAGCTGAAGAGTGGAAAGAATTGCGATTCGGGTCTGGCGAAAAGGCTGCTTGGACAAAGGTCAAGGGGCACGAAGCCATTCGGTTTCCTCCAGCCAAGATTACGACTGCGGCAGATAAGGTCACTCTTATAATACAGGTCAGACAGAAGCAAGGCTTTTGGCTGCTCAATTTTTTCTACGTCGCCAGCTCACGCCTTTCGGTGTTGCAGGCGACGCTTGCTGGGGTCACCATTGCGGAGGCCATGGAATGCGACAAGGGCGAACGTAATCACAGTTTTCAGGACGTGCACTACGTATTTGAGCGCGCCCCGCGCATGTGAGTTGCCGAGACGATATAGCTCCATGACCCAACTGATCCTGGCGGCGCTTTATCGACAGTCTTAAAGCGTTGTTAGACGTTGCACTTCTCAATGCCGATGGAGGAACGGTCAAGTCTGCCTTTGAATTGTGAGCATCCTGTTCGGGGCCTTCGCCTCACGTCGCTGCGGCTGACGATTGTGTAACGGCTTCTCCTAATTAGGCTGCGAAGCGTCAGCGGCAGAGCCTGGGATGGCACATGGGCAACGCTGCGCCAGTTGGAAGGGTGAGCCGATTCAGAGTAGAGGACAGGGAGTCCGTGCAACTCACCTTTCGTGTGCTCTACCAGCATTGGCGACAAATCAGCAAGGATCCTGGCCGATGCCCGCCTGACAGATTTGACGTCGGTCATGGATTGCACACCCGATAGAATCGAGGTTCTTCTCAATCGCAAACCACCGTTCGGCAAGAAGGTGATCGAGAGTGCAAAAGCCTTGCCGAGGTTTGCCGTCCACATTGAGCTGCAAGAACAATCTCTCAAAGCGGTGCCCGGTCGAGGAGTGTGCGGATCCGTCTCTGCAACAGTAGAGCAACAGCAGAAGGAGTGCAAAGGTAGACGATTTGGACACACCATGTTTGTCGTCTGCTTGGCATTGACCAGCGACAATGAGGTCAGGCATCGCGTTGCCGCTTTTCAGCTTGTTTATGATGTCCCGCTGAGCCGAATTTCTGCATTCTGCACACCGCCAGCTCGTGGATTTCAGGTGAGCACCATATCGGTCTCTGCATAACGATGAGCCGTGGACAAATGTTTCCTCAACCATGCGCCGGGCAGAAAGATGCCCGTCAGCAAGATGTCGAAGGCCAAGACATACTCTTTCAGGGTCACATTCACCAAGCCCTCGCAATCTTTGATCCTCATCGTTGGATGCAGCGAAGTTTCGGGCACCGCAGTTCGAGCGGATGTGAGACCTCAAGGCTTCTCACCTCAAGACTTTCCAGGACCAGCACTGCTGTATGGCGATTCTCCTTGCGTGAGCTAAGGTGTGGCTAGCAAGCAGGGGACTTTGCGTGCTGACCTCGTTTGCTGAAACCACAGGAAGATCCCACAGCAGATGAGCTCATGGCCGAGACAGCGTCGGGCGCTCGCAGCTCCACTACCTCTGCTGGTGATGCACGCAGTCTCCGTAAGTCTCGGCGCTAAAGTTCCTGTTGCGCGCGGCCACTCATCCTAGCTGCCGCCTCGAAGCAACATTAAACACCGCAGATTGCAGTCGACACACAGTGCAGCGAAAGGAAGAGCACACGCACGAGAAAATGCCCAACGGAAACTACAAGTGAGTGTTACGATCTTGGCTCCTGCACCCGGGCTAATACTCCGAACACCGTTCAGATGTAATCACCAATGCAAGAAGGAGTGTGCGCACAAGTGCTGCCGAGAAGGCTTGAAGAAGCCACCTCTGCCTT